AAGAAAGTATGCACTTTTTCAAATGTAAGTGATTTGTTGACAATTCATTATCAACAATAATCCTTCCAGTTTCCAGTTTTCCCCCCACCTCCATGGGAAGGTCTTTTAGACATTATATAAACTTCCCTGCAATCCCAAGGCTTTTAAATTCTTTAATCCTCTGGGTGTGACACTGAAGAATTCTATTCTCAGTAATTCTTGGCTAAATTTTTAAGAGGTATAGGGCTGTTGGTCTTTCATCTTAATATTTACTTCCTATTAGGGAAGAGCAGGAAAAACAAAAAGTTGTTTAATAAGAAAACCAAGTGTCTGAAGAGCCTTCAGAGGAAGGGAATTCAAGCCTCTTGGAGGCCAATGTTTTAATTTTAATTTGTTAAAAATGGGGTTTCACTCTGTTGCCCAAGCTGAAGTTCAGTGGTGTGGTCATAGCTCACAGTAGCCTTGAACACCTAGGCTCAAGCCATGGAGGTTGATATTTTAAATGGGCTGAATATCCAGGAGATATTGCTTATTAAAATCACATCAAATGTGATCATTTACAGAACTCTTAGGAGCTGAGTTTATCAACGCAGCAGTCACCCTAGCATGGGAGAGGATGGAGCAGACAAGAGATCTTGGGCACAATTATAAAGAACTTGTCAAATAAAATACTATGAACTAAAGGCTTAAGTAGAGGAGGAGTATTGTATGTCCAAGGGGATTCAGCAGATTAGGTAAGATTAAGACTTATCTTCAGATTAAGGTCTATACCAGAAGTAAGTAGGTCACTGCCTGATAGAATCTGGAACCCCTTAGAGGAGGTGTCATTTTGTGTTCACAAGGGATCAAGTTCCGTTGACTTGGAGATAATTCTGCCCCTAACAAATTACTGTGTCAGGAAGAGCATGGCAACATGAGCAATGCTGGTGAGTCTCTGCGAGGGATGTCTCCAAGGCCTTGAGTCCCTTAAATAAGGCAAACCATTCATCTTCCCAATGGTTAATAGATCTGAGCCACTCAGGGGCACCAGATGTGACTTCTGTGTTATTTACGCCTTTGTTTTCCTTCTCCTTCTCCTTCTTCCCCTTCCTCCTACCTTTTGCCACCAGATCTTTGAGGATAGGACAGGGCCTTATTCACAAGACAGCTAAGGCAAGTGGGAGAAAGTAAACTGTGGATTGGGCCATCTCATCTCCAGAGAGAAGACTGGTGTGGGGTTTGAGATTATGCAGTGATTTCATTTGTTGCCAAGTCAATATTATTATGGCGTGAAACTGGTGCTAAAAGCCTTCTCAAATTATTAGGAAGTTTGAAGGCAGAACAGGTAAGAAGGAAAAACAAGAATGGAGAAATGGGAGGATGAGGAAGGGAAGGACGTTCAGAGCCTTGTTTTTATATCTCCTTAAGACTATTTTGTCAATGGCGAGCCCTAGCATAGGCAAGCCACTTGACACCAGCAGTGTATGGAGCTGTGAAAAACAATCACTAGGGAATTTCTGCCAAACCCCACTTTTCTGTTTTCAGATGGGCTCAGTAATGTATTCATTCAACAAATCCCTGTTAGACTCTGTGACTGATAAACAAAAGTCCAAAAGATTGAAGATCATCAGCTGGGAGTGCCGACTCACTCCTGTAATCCCAGCAATTTGGGAGGCTGAGGCAGATGGATCATCTGAGGTCAGAAGTTTGAGACTAGTCTGGCCAACATGGTGAAACCCAGTCTCTACTGAAAATATAGAAATTGGCTGGGTGTGGTGGTGCACGCCTATAATCCCAGCTACTTGAGAGGTTGAGGCACAAGAATTGCTTGAATCTGGGAGTCAGACGTTGCAGTGAGCCGAGATCATGTCACTGCACTCCAGCCTGGATGACAGAGTGATATACTTTGGCAAAAAAAAAAGCATTGAAGATTATCTTTTGAAAGAACAATTTATTCTACATTTACAGAATTTAGACATTGTAAAAACAATTTTAGAGTCTAGAGGAAGAAAAGTCAAAAACAAAGTCCTTCCTCCCACAAGCTCAGTCTGATGAGAAAGATAGATATTTTAGTGGATAAAAACAATAAAACTTGTTAATTGTAATGATGAAGGATGTACATGATGGTGTAGGGAGACAGTGATGAATTCTGCCATTGCGGTATATTCTACCATTCTTGGTTCACCAAGATTATATGTAAACCAGTTCTTAAAGGATGACTATTAATTTGTGAAGCTGACTGTGCTTGAGAAAACATTTTAAGCAATGTAATATGGACACAAAGACATGGAAGTTCAAAGTAAGAGTACATAGCAGCTGCAGGTACTCTCAGTAATGCCTTGGCTTAGCTTGCAAACAGGAGGCAGAGTGTGCAGAGAGGCGGAGATGAGGCTGGGAGGAAACTCAAAAGCCAAGTGGGGTAAAGCCTCAGATACTATACTAAGGAGTTTGGCCTTTACCTTCTAGGACATTGAGGAGATTTCGAAAGACTTTAGCAATAATAATATCAACAGATTATGGTGGCAGTATGTGGAGGGTGCTTGGAAGGGCAAGAGGTAGAAGCTAGGGAGATGATTTAAGAAGCTGATGCAGTAGTCTAGGTGAGAGAGTATAGAGGCCTGTAATGGAAGAGTAACTTTATGGATGGAAAGGAGAAGACAGATTCGAGAGGTACAAAGAGAAGCCATATAGCATGGTCCCCCATTGCATGTGGGGGCGTGGAGGGGAGAGAGAGAGGACAAGAAAGCAAGAGCAAGAGTGAGAGTGAGAGACAGGGGCAGAGACAGAGACACAGAGAAGAGCCTTAGGTTTTAATAAATGATGATTCCAGTAACTGGGACCAGGAATGTAGGAAAAGTTGCAAGCTGGGAGGCCTGGACACATTGAACATGTTGAGATGAAAGTGCTTGATGGATGTGCATGCAGAGCTGTCCCATAGCTCATGTATATTTAAAACCAGAGCTAGGTGCTGTGGCTCACACCTGTAATCCCAGCACTTTGGGAGCCCGAGGCAGGCGGATCACGAGGTCAAGAGTTTGAGACCAGCCTGGCCAACATGGTGAAACCCATCTCTACTAAAGATATAAAATATTAGCCAGTCATGGTGGCAGACACCTGTGATCCTAGCTACTTGAGAGGCTGAGGCAGGAGAATCGCTTGAACCCAGGAGATGGAGGTTGCAGTGAGCCAAGATCGGGCCACTGCATTCCAGCCTGGGCGACAGGGTGAGACTCTGTCTCAAAAACAAACAAACAAACAAAAACAAACCAGAGTCAAGGAGAGAAGTCTGGACTGAAAACACAGATTTTGAAATGATCCACGTGGAATAGATTAAATAAATCAAGGGCTGCTTATAAAAAGAAGAGCAGAGGGCTTGGGAGGGGTACAGATAAAACACACATAAAACATAACAGCAAGAAAAAAGATGTCTGAGAACAGAGAGCAAGTGCTGATACCAGCTCTGTCACTCACAACAGTGTTTGATTGTCTGGGCTTATTTTCTTTTTCTTTTTCTTCTTTTTTTTCTTTTTCTTTTATTTTTTTTGAGATGGAGTCTCACTCTTTTGCCCAGGCTGGAGTGCAGTGGCGCAATCTCGGCTCACTGCAACCTCTGCCTCCTGGGTGCAAGCACTTCTCCTGCCTCAGCCTCCAGAGTAGCTGGGATTACAGGCACACATCACCACGCCTGGCCAATTTTTTATATCTTTAGTGGAAACGGAATTTCACCATGTTGGCCAGGCTGGTCTCAAACTCCCGATCTTGTGATCCACCCTCCTCAGCCTCCCAAAGTGCTGGGATTACAGGCGTGAGCCACCATGCCCGGCCAAGAGTTTCTAATTCTATTATATGAAGCCAATAATCACCCAGTGTCATCAGGAAAAATGATTGTTTAGTTTTCTTATGTTATCATAACTACATGTTTGTGAGTATGTGTGGCACTTACTATCCTCATCGGATTCGACTGAAAGATGAGCTTAGGGCATAATATTTGGACCCATTTTTCAGTCTTTTATTATGAACTTTGGGTATGATGAAGTGATGTTGGGCCATTGATAAAACAATTAGTTTATTATTCCCTAGCTGAATGTTCTGCTCTAAGGAGCGTAGACAGTAAATTAGAGGAAACTCTAATTTACTAAAGGAGTTAGTTGCTTCATTCACCTGGAGTTTTCGTGTTTGGCTTTATGACACTCAACATTTATCTCCTTGAATTAACTTGGGCAGCATGATGATCACACCTGAGAGAAGTAATAAATATGTTGTATGATCCAATTAATATTCAAGAAAGCTCTTGTCAGGCTGTAATGTTGGACCAAACCTACCAAGTAGAAATTTGACTGGAATAAATGTAAATTCCTGCCCTTGAGTTTCTGAAAAGAGACTATATAAGTAAAAGCATAATGGAGTTAATAGTGTGATGTGAGAGCCCCCAAAGCTAACCCCACTTCAGGCCCCATTGCACTAGCATCAGGAGCAACGTAGGCAAGAGTTCTCTTATGTTCTGCTCTGGGAAGCATCTGAAGTGTTTCAGTTATGGGTACCACTCCAGCCAATGAGAGAACCAGATGGAGAGAAGGCCGTATGAGGAATGGGTTGAAGAATTGCTTAGTGACTAGCCAGCAGGGTTGGAGGTAAGCAGACATCTGTGATGTCTTTATAAATACTGGAAATGACTGTCCCTTTTAAGGGGACTTAAGTAGATTCTGTCAAGCTTCAGGGCATAATTTTTACATATAGAAGGTAAAAGAAGTCAGTCACAGTAGGAAAAAAGAAATCTTTCTAACCATTTCATCTTCTTCATAAATGGAATGGGCATCCCTGTGCGTCAGTGAGCTCCCCACAGCTGGGAGTGTTTAAGCAGAACGATATTGAAAAAGAGAGTCTAGGAGAAGGGGAGGAATTGAATTGGATGGCCCTAACGGCTGTCCTTATGCTGAGATTTGGCAATGTGAAATGATCCATTTGATTGCTTCATTTTCTCAAACTGAATGCAATTCTGGTTCATCTTTTTTTTTTTTTTTTTTTAATTTCTCTCCATATAGAGATAATCAGGTCTACAAATCTTATAATTCTGCTAGAGGATGAAATCTTCGCAGACTTTTTCAACACATTCCTTTCTCTCCCGGTAAGCATTCTCAGATTTAAATACAAATATTTCATTAGCAGCTGAATAGTGAATCTCACAGAGCTGAGTGATTGTTTTGTTTGTTTGTCATTATTTTGGGTTTTACTAAATTTCTTCTTAAATACAAAAACTCTTTTAATTTGAGCAAATAAACGTGAACCAGAACCACCTCTAAAATCTCCAAAAGCTTCCCATTGTTGTTGATGTCGTCAAATCCTAAATCCCCAGCCTCCTTAGTTGCCTTTGCCTGTCCAAAGTGACTTCCTATCACACCCTCTGCTGATACCCAGTGCTCTGGTGACAAGAGCTCTACCCTCGCTGGGCACACCTGGCATTCCCCCACCTCTGAACCTCTCCTTGGTCTGTGTTTGTTTTCTGCCAGGAATACCTTTCCTGTAGTTCCACCTACAAAAGTCTTAAAGAGTCCTCAAATCTCTGCTTAAATTCTATTCTCCTTAAGGAATTCCTAGGTCCTCACAATTGGAGCCTCCTGATGGAAACTTCTCTGCTTCTAAGCCCTTTGGCACTTTGCAACTCTCTTGAGGTGTGTGTGTGTGTGTGTGTGTGTGTGTGTGTGTGTGTGTGAGTGTCAGTTGATTATGAGATAGTGAATTCCTGCAGGACAAGGACTGAGGATTATTTATTCTGCTCTACTCCCTTCACCAGGTGGTTAGCACACAGAAATTGTTGTTGACTGGAACAGGCCCATCTATTTCCTTAATCTATGCAACTAAAACAAATCTCAAACATCAAAGTATTCTTAAACCCAAACCTGGTCTTATCCTGAATCTTTTTTGGTTTACATTCTTGGTGACAATTTAACACTAGTGCCTTATGAATTGTGGCTCATCTTGATGCACCTTTCCCATGAGATGGTATATAGTAAAAGGCAAGATTTCGGACAAGTAGGAAAAACATCCTGTATATCCCACAAATGGTTATTGGGTGATTACTTTGTGCCAGCCCCTGGGCTGGGCTTAGTATTGGAGATGCACATATTAATGACACCATCCCTGTCCTCATGGAATTCCCAGTCTAGGGTGAGAGATATTTACTGAAGGTCTGGGTGACATGACAGAACTTTTTAGGAGGCAGTAGGAGTACAGTACTCACGAGAGAGAGAGATCATCCCTACCTGGATGATTCAGGAAAAGCTGACACAAGCCAAATATTAAAAGACGAGGAGGCACTTGACAGTTAACTGGAAGCAGAAGGTGAGGAGAAAAAGACGCATAAAGAAATAAGAAGAGGCATGGCTCATGTCTGCAATCCCAGCACTTTGGGAGGCCAACGTGGGCGGATTACCTGAGGTCAGGAGTTCGAGACCAGCCTAGCCAACATAGTGAAACCCTGTCTCTACCAAAAATACAATAATTAGCCAGGTGTGGGTGGTGCACACCTGTAATCCCAGCTGCTTGGAAAGCTGAGGCACAAGAATCACTTGAGCCCAGGAGGCAGAGGTTGCAGTGAACTGAGATGGCACCACTGCACTCCAGCCTGAGCCATAGAGCAAGACTCCATCTCAAATTTAAAAAAAAGAATAAAAATAGGAGGAAACAAAAGACTAGGGAGTGAGCAGCAAGAAAAGCCTTACACAGAATAGGGAAAGTAAAGGCACCAAAGAATACAATCCTTTGATGCTTTGGGGGAGATTGTAAGTAACTCAGGAAGGCTGATGATGTGAGGGTGAGATGCCACAAGAGATAAGCTGCATGGGCAGCCCGCACCAAGCCCTGGAGATCAGGCAAGCCATACCGAGGAGTTTGGACATTACCTTAAGGCACGAGAGAGCCATCGAAGGATTTGAAGTAAAGGAATAACATCTTCAGGTTTTCATTTGGGAAAACTGTCCTGCAGAGGTTTGGCCAATGGGTGGGCAGGAGACCTTAATGGAGGAAGGGAAAGCAGTTATGAGGTTGTTTCAATCATCTAGTGGGAAGCAATGAGGGTCAAAGGGGAAAGGGGAGAGGAGGATGGGATACATAGAGGAGATTGTTAACAAAACAAAATATAGGACCGTGTCACTATAAATGTTGGGCGAAGAGTAACAGGAAGGAAGGAAGCAAGGGTAACAGGCTTGGGTGCGTGGATGGATGATAGTGCCAGGCAACAGGATTAAAACCGGGATAAGGAAGAGGCCTCTCTCAGAGTGGGTCTTTATGTATTTATCACTCTTACTATTGTCTCTGCCACTGTCTTAATATGAAGGTTTCAGAAGTAATTTTTTTTTTTTGAGACAGAGTTTCACTCTTGTTGCCCAGACTGGAGTGCAGTGACGCAATCTCGGCTCACTGCAATCTCCATCTCCCAGGCTCAAGCAATTCTGCCTCAGCCTCCCAAGTAGCTGGGACTACAGGTGTGCACCACAGCGCCAGCTATTTTTGTGTTTTTAGTAGAGACAGGGTTTCACCATGTTGGCCAGGCTGGTCTCAAACTCCTAACCTCATGTGATCCACCCACCTTGGCCTTCCAAAGGACTGGGATTACAGGCATGAACCACCACACCTGGCCGAAAAGTAATCTCAAGACACGTTAATCAGTCAATGCACCAACACAATTAAAACAGCTCACAGTAATGTCCTAGAAACAGAGAGTGATGTGGAGAGGGGTGTTCCAGCCAAGATTATAAGAAAGTTCTGGCCACTTAGGCAGCTGTGGTCTATAAAGAGAGACAGCAGTAGTAGTTCATGTTGAATACTCCTTAAGTTTACAAATTTCTACCACTTAATTCCCATAGTCACCGTGTGAGGTAGGAAGTATTCCCTTTTTACCAATGGATCTCCGAAGTTAAATGATTTGCTGTAATCCCAGCACTTTGGGAGGTAGAGGCAGGCAGATCAATTGAGGTCAAGAATTTGAGCCCAACCTGGCCAACATGGTGAAACCCGTCTCTACTAAAAATATAAAAATTAGCCAGGTGCGGTGGCGTGCACCTGTAATCCCAGGTACTGGGGAGGCTGAGGCAGGAGAATTGCTTGAACCTAAGAGGCAGAGGTTGCAGTAAGCTGCGATTGTGTTCCTACACTCCAGCCCAGGTGACAGAGTGAGACTCCATCTCAAAAAAAAAAAAAAAAAAAAAAAGTTAAATGATTTGCCTAAGATTACGCAGTGAATCTGGGGCAGTTCTAGGAGCTGACCAGGTCTGCTGGCTCCAGGCCTGATGTGTTTTCCACATTAACCTGTGCCCTCTATGGTGCAATGTCGGGTAGTGAAACTGCTTCCGAACACCACTCCCACATAATCGCACAACTTCACAGTCCTATCCCCACTCCTTAAAGGTAACTTACCACACCAGTCAGGGCATGTTGTGTTACTTACACACTGAGTGCAGAGCAGAGAGAGATCCCTAAGGACTGAATCTCCTTTACAAACTTATAATTGTAAGACGCAGACAGCACCATCACCTTCCTTCAACACCTCACAGCTGAGGGCAAGGGACAAATGGGATCAAGGGAAGAGGGCCATAGACTAACAACAGTGTGGGGCTGTTCATCTTGGGGAGATGGTCAGACTGACATGATGGGCTGAGAGTTCAGCCAGGAATCGGAGCTGCAGCCCCTCTAGTTTTCTGCAAATACTTCTGGGACACTTTGAAGACATTTTGTTGCCCATGGTGAAACTGCTTAAGTTTACATACCTATAAACATGGAAGTCCTTTCCCATCCATTTCAATGCTGGTTGCCTAGATGACAGTCTCTTTTCCATGACAAAAGGGGATGGCATCCTAGAATTACATATCAATTCTGGACACTCTCAATGCTTCCGTGTGGAGTTTGTACCCCTAATCTCCATATGTATAGCCCTGTCTGTTTTCTCCAGTTTGGGTAAATCCAAAGCTATTTTTCACTGGGAAAACATTTTAGACATTTGCTTTAACTCTCTAAGTCCAGGGAGAAAAGTGAATACTGAATACACAAAGTAAATACGTTCTAATAACATGGGCCTTGGCCTTTGCACACAAGCAAATAGCTCTCAGGTCGGCTCAGGCTCCACAAGAAAGATAGCTCCCAGGTTGGGGCATGGTGGAGTCAAAAGATAAATGAATCTTGCCGTTCTGTCTGTTTAAGTCTTTTGCGGGCCAGGCGCGGTGGCTCAAGCCTGTAATCCCAGCACTTTGGGAGACCGAGGCGGGTGGATCACGAGGTCAAGAGATCAAGACCATCCTGGTCAACATGGTGAAACCCCGTCTCTACTAAAAATACAAAAAATTAGCTGGGCATGGTGGCGCATGCCTGTAATCCCAGCTACTCAGGAGGCTGAGGCAGGAGGATTGCCTGAACCCAGGAGACAGAGGTTGCGGTGAGCCGAGATCGCGCCATTGCACTCCAGCCTGGGTAACAAGAGCGAAACTCTGTAAAAAAAAAAAAAAAAAAAAGGCTTTTGCACCTGTGTGCAGGGCAAGTTGATACAGCGGAATAAATTTAAGAATTAATGTTCCTTGAAATAATAGAGCGGTGGAACCTCTCTTCCCCTGTGGCTGCAGATGGGCTGTGTCATACACATGAAGACAATCTCTACTCTCTTGACGTTTCCTAGCTTTCTTTTGCAGGTTTTTGGTCAGACACCATTTTATACTGTTGAAAATTCACAGTGGAGCTTGTGGCCAGAAATACCTTGTAACTTGGTAAGTAAAATTCTTCAGAGGTAGAGAGTTCGGATGAGGAAGCTATATTTGTTTTTGTTGTTAATTTGTGTTTGTTTTTGAGATGGGGTCTCACTGTCACCTAGGCTGCAGTGCAATGGTGTGATCTTGGCTCACTGCAACCTTTGCTTCCCTGGCTCAAGCAATCCTCCCACCTTAGCCTCCCAAGTAGCTGGGACCACACAGGCACCCGCCACCATACCCAGCGAATTTTTGTATTTTTGGTAGAGATGGAGTTTCACTGTGTTTCCCAGGCTGATCTCAAGCTACTGAGCTCAAGTAATTCACCCACCTCAGCCTCCCAAATTGCTGGAATTACAGGCAGGAGCCATGGTGCCAGGCATGAGGGAACTATTCAAAATGTGAATTGGGAGAGGGAGAAAAAGATGAGGCACACAGAATAACTACAGGAGAAACTGTAAAGCAGAGAAGTAGAACAAACAGCATCAATCCAAGTAGATATTCCTCCTTTTTACATTTTTCACCTCTTGTGCAAGCAATTGCTGGTGAATTCTTTCCACAGTCCATAGTTAGCAAATGGGATTCTCACACCTACTGTGATAGGTTAGACACTTGGGACACTGTGCTGAGAAGAACAGGGCACATCTAAGCAAGAAAGACTCTGGGAAGTGACTGGCAATGTCTGTAGGGGGTGTGGGGTGGGAAGGGGCAGCCCACGGGCCACATAATTATTATCTGTATGCATTATCAGATATAGATCAAGATAAGATGCTTTTCTGCAATTTCTAATGACTACTCAACTATTCTTCTCCAGAGGCATGTTTTTCTCCCAATTTCTTCTCTTTATGCCTTTTTTCCTGTTATTTTTCTCTTTTCCCCACTCCTGTTCTCCTTTTCTACTACGTAGACCTTAGAGTTACCAAAGGCTTCCACGTGCCCTACAAGGGGGCATATAGGATCAGAAAGACCACTCTAAACCTGATAACAACAAGGTTTTGTTCTCTCTGAGTTCTGGAGAGCTGAGAAGAGACATTCTACTCTGACTTTTTTTTTTTTTTTTTTTTTTTTTGAGATGTAGTTTTGCTTTTGTTGCCCAGGCTGCAGTGCAATGGCACGATCTTGGCTCACCACAACCTCCGCCTCCCAGGTTCAAGTGATTCTCCTGCCTCAGCCTCCCAAGTAGCTGGGATTACAGGCATGCACCGCCACACCCAGCTAATTTTTTGTATTTTTAGTAGAGACGGGGTTTCTCTATGCTGGTCAGGCTGGTCTCAAACTACTGACCTTAGGTGATCCGCCCGTCTTGGCCTCCCAAAGTGCTGGGATTACGGGCGTGAGTGGTGGCGGGCCTTCTATTCTGGCCTTCTATGCTAATTCTTATATTTAATTTCCCAAGGATAACCCTGAAAGCTGAAAAAAAATTCTCCTTTCTCTGTGGCTCGATCCCTCAGGAATCCATCCCGTATTCTAAATGACGCTATGTGTGAAGCTGTTTTTGTACATGTTGTACAATTGATAGGGGTAGGAGCTTGTTAGAAATTATGAGTGTGTTTACAAAGAAGCAAGGTGAATAGAGTTATGATCTGACACCACAGACACAAATATTTTCTGCTTTTCTTCTGTCAAACAAGACTTAGATTTTTTTCTTTAACAACTTCAGGAATAAGAAAGAATTTTTTTTCATGAAAGATCACTGTTTTATTTTCTACTGATCCATTTACTTCTTTGCAAGCCTCTGCTCCTCTTTGATACTTCTTTTTTTAAGTCCAGGTTCCAGGTTTATAGAAATTATTTTTAATCAACACACCTCTCCTTTGGCTAGACATTGCAAGTGTGAGGTGATTAGCTGCCCCTTACTAAGTTGTATTTCTTAGCAGTTCAGTTTCATTTCGTTTTTTTTGTTTCTATTTTGCGTTGACTCTAGATTGCCAAATACAAAGGATTATTGACCTGGTTGGAAAAATACCGATTACCTTTCTTCTGTAAAACAAACTTGTGTTTCCATTACATTCTCTGTCAGGAGCTCATCAGTTTCATTAAGTCCCCAGAAGGAGGTAAGTATTGGTATGCATGTCTGTTTGTGTATGTGTGGAGAAATATAGGAAGTCACATTTCATAATAATCTTATGCCTGTCAGTACTATAGCAAGATACAAATATTGGCTGAATTTATAGATATGTGCATAGCCCAGCTCATGGTATGGCAATAGATAAAACCTTAGCCTGAAAAATTGGCATCTAGAGAAATATGCAGGAATCAGATGGACTGGGCCGTTTATCTCACTGTAGCCAGAAATGAGAAACTTAATGGTGGCTGCAGAACATAGTAAAATTGCCTAATCTAGACTCAAACAGATTTCACCAACTTCATTACCACCATCTGCTTTAAGCCATAAATAATTTCTCACCTAGTTAATAAAATCATCTCTTCATTAGTCTCCTTGCTTTTGCTCTTGCTGTCTTGCTCATAGAAGCCAGAGTGAGCCTCTTAAAATGTAATTGGTGCTGGTGCTGGTTGGAGGGTGTTTTTGAGCTGTGAATTGCATGATGCTTGTGGGTCCCTGCCATGAGCCTTAACACATGTTACCAAATGGTCTGGTGCCTAGCTTCAAAAGCACATGATCTGGACCCTAGTCACTTAAGTGGTCACAATTTGTCCTCACCACACTAAACAAATGAGGGTCTGGCTGGGAGAGGGGCTAGGGTAAGGGTTCATTCTCTCTCTTATGGTGAACTTTTCCTGGCAGCCAAGATGATGAGATGGAAAAAGGCAGACCAGTGGCTACTCCAGAAATGCATTGGCGGGGTCAGAGGGATGTGGCGCTTCTGCTCCTACCTCACAGGCAGTGCAGGTGGGTTCTCAGGGTTGTTCCTGGGGCGTTTTCAAGTTCCTAATGGTTTGCAGGTTGCCCTAAGCCCCAGTTATGGTGAATATAAAAATGTTCAATAATGTGGTTTGGATAATAATCTTTGAAAACTGAGGTCTATAGTATAGATTAAAGGAAAAGCAATCAGAATCCCTTCTACTCATTTATTCATTCATTTATTTAACAGTATCATTAAGCACCGCTCTGTGGCAGCCACTGTGCTGGTAGGTTGGGTTACAAAGGTGGACAAGAGCCATAAGTCCCTTCTTCTACAAAGCTGCTGCTTTGGTGGGGGAGACAGACCAGGAACAAGTAAACAAATCCCCATAGTGGGAGTGTTGGGAAACACTGCCTCCTGTTCTGTTGGGTCTGGCGAATTGCTGGGTGCTGGGTGCTGGGAGGCTGGGAGGCTGGCAGCTGGTCCTGGCTGACACTCCGGCTTAACAACATTAAGTTTCTTCCAGACCTAAGCCCTAGTTTTAAGGGTGAACTCCTGGATGTCCAGGGAGCAGGTAGGGAAGAACTAAATGGATTACTTCTTTCATTTTGTCACTCAGAGTTTGGCCCTGGAAAAGTGTCCAAAAAAGGGAATGTCGTCTTTGGCATCTTTTGGCCCCAGTGTCTTTCTGCAGGCCACTCTCAGTTCATGATCTAGAAACTGTTTTTCTCCCCAATCTTCATTTTTTTGGACAAAATTTAAATATTTCATAATCCACCCCCAGAGTCTTGCAGTTTTGCCTAGCAATGGTTCTTCTAACGCCAGCAACGAAAAACCAAAGGATTCCCATGCATGAAGTCCCTTCTCCCATGCCTCCCACAGTAGAACTTTTCTGGAGATGATACCTTGAACCAATTACCAGGAATGATGATCGATGCAGTGGAACAGGCTAGCGGGGGATGTCAGCTGATTTACCCAGATGCAACCACCAAAGAGGCAAAACCAGAGTACAGCTCTGTGCCTCTTCTGTCTCGTCTGTAGGTGAAGAACTGGTGGATTTCTGGATTCTTGCTGAGAAGATCCTGAGCATAAATGAGATGGACCTGGAAGTGAGAGACCACTACCTGTCCCTCCTCCTCATGCTGAGGGCCACTCATCTGCAAGAGGGGTCCAGGGTAGTAACCCTCTGCAACATGAACATCAGTAAGAATTATAAAGCATATTCTTGGGGAATGCAACAAAAAAAGAAATCCAGTGTCTGAGAATTCTTAGCCTCCTTCTTTGCAGGAAACCCCACCCTCTCTCCATCTTCTATGTATCAGAGATGCTAGTGGCAACCCCAGCCCTTAACCAGGAAAGTATTGAAAGACACCAGTTGTCCTTAAGCTGGTACTTGCCTCTTTCAAACCCACCAATGAAGGCTGGCTGGAAGGGAGGGAGGAGGAATTGGGGCAGGATACTTGAAAAGCACCTGTAACATCTGAGCCTACATACTTTTGTAATTTTATTTTTTTAATTGGGATTCTCTGGAAGAAACTGCAGCCCACTGGCCAAATGAAGTGTATGTGGCCTGTGAGCTAAGATTGTCTTTACATTTTCACAGGGCTTTAAAAAAAAGAAGGATATGTTAGGTGGTTTACAAAGCCAAAATATTTACCATCTGGCCCTTTACATAAAAAGTTTGCCAACTTCTTCTCTAGAATGCAAGATTTATTTATATTTGTTTGTTGATTTAAAGAGGAGGCATTCCTAACTCAAATACAAATGTGTTCCAAAAGATGTGCTGTTTGGGATTAGTCACACTCCTCTCTATTCCCGTAGATGACTGAGAATTGATGACATTAAAATCAGGGCTAGCGCTACTTATCCAGTCCTAAATTGTTCATCAAAAATCCTGTTCAGATGTAGACGTCTCTTATTCTTAAACATTTTTCTTGCACTTTTGCTTTTCTTGAAAATAACATTTAATCGTCTAAAAAGTAATCCCGTAACATGGCTTGGGAAAGAAGATAAAGGGATCACTGTGTGCTGAGAAAACCATAAAAATGCGCCGACTATGTATTTTAACTATTCATACTCCAGGGTTGTGTGAGGAACTAATGAAATGCTCTACACAAAGACATTTGAAAACCGCTCCAACATCATCTTCACTGCCGTCATCACATCATTTTCACCCATCATGTTTCTGTATTATTTCCAGAGTCCCTCCTGAACCTCTCCATCTGGCATCCCAACCAGTCAACCACTAGGAGGGAGATCCTAAGCCACATGCAGAAAGTGGCTCTGTTCAAACTCCAGAGCTACTGGCTTCCTAACTTTTATACCCACACCAAGATGACTATGGCCAAGGAGGAAGCATGCCATGGTCTGATGCAGGAGTATGAGACTCAATTATACAGCGTTTGCTACACTCACGTAGGAGGGCCTCCTCTGAACATGAGCATCAAGAAGTGCCACCACTTTCAGAAACAGTACTCATGCAGGAAAGCCAAGAGGAAGATGTGGCAATTGGTAGATCCTGACTCTTGGTCTCTGGAAATGGACATCAAGCCAGATACTATCAGTATGCCCCTACAGGAGACACGTTCTCAAGAGAAGGTGATTATACAAATGCCTTCCCTGAAAATGTCTTCTTCAAAGGAAACAAGAATCAGTTCCCTGGAAAAGGATATGCATTACGCAAAAACACCCAGCATGAAGGATAAAGCCAACAGCCACCTTCACATGGAGGGTCTCTTTGAGACAAAGGTCTCTACCCACCTGAGGACTGTCACCCCCATCGTCAACCCCTCCTTCAAGATGACAATTCAGAAGGCCATCAAGCAAGGCTTCTCCTTAGGATACACCCACTTGGCCTTGTGTGCTGATGCCTATGCAGGGAACCCTTTCCGGGACCACCTGAAGAAGCTGAATTTGAAAGTGGAGACCCAACTTCTTGACCTCTGGCAGGACCTGCACCATTTCCTCAGTGTCCTTTTGAATAACAAGAAGAATGGGAATACAATCTTTCGTCACTTGCTGGGTGACAGAATCTGCGAGCTCCACCTGAATGAACAGATTGGTCCACGCTTACCACTCAAATCCCAAACCATGCAGGGCCTGAAGGAACTCTTGCCTTCTGGAGATGTGATTCCGTGGATTTCCAAAGCCCAGAAGGAGATTTGCAAGGTAGGCCTTGCCTCACAGAAATGAGTTAGTATCTGGCAAGTTAGGTCAAAACTGACTAAAAATTCCATCTGGTCATCTATACTAAGTTAATTCTATAATTACCCACGTAAACCCTCATATACTGAAGAGTTGGTTGATCTCTTAAGGCAGGGGTCCCCAGGCCCTGGGCCGCAGATCTGTACAGCCCCTAGCCGGTTAGGATACTGGGCCGCACAACAGAAGGTGAGCAGCGGGTGAGCAAGCATTACTGCCTAAGCTCCATCTTCTGTCAGATCAGTGGTAGCATTTGAGCAAAAACAGTATTATGAACTGTGCGTGTAAGGGCTCTGGGTTGCATGCTTCTTGTGAGAATCTAATGCCTGATTATGTGAGGTGGAACAGTTGCATCCCGAAACCATCTTCCCAGCCCCCAGTTCATGGAAAAGTTGTCTTCCCAGAACTGGTCCCTGGTGCCAAAAGGTTGGGGACCGCTGTCTTAAGGCACAAATTTTGCAACTTCCCCCAAATCAGCCAAAAACTCTAAAGTAGAATGGAGGTGGGGAGTGGTTGATATCCATTCCTTCTTCACCTTCCTTTTATACAAAGCCTCTGCAAACCATGAACCTCAGAGTGTTCCATGAGGAAAGTTTTTAATTTCTATTATGAACATTACGTATTGAAAAGCAAGCTCCCTTTACTAGACCAGCCATCAAGGAAATGTTCAGTTAGGATGAATTTATTTTCATCTCAAGACATTAGATAAAAGCAAGGGAATATTCTGAGGACTCAACAGGAAGGGAAGCCCATCACGTAGCTATTGTATCATCAGGTTCTTAGCAGAAGGCAAATGGCAAAGTCAAGTTAGGTAACAGATGAGAGAAAAATAAGAGGGACTACTCACAAAGGAATGGGTGGTGCAGTAGGGAAACCACAGGGATAGTGTAACAGCACAAGGTCAGTAAGGGCAGGGCTCCTTTATCATTCCTAGGTATGAAGAATTGAGGACAGGAAGCAATTACTAGAACCAGGAGAGAAAGAGCTGTATGGAGTGGGACACTTGCTTGGCAGAAGCTGTAATCATCAGTTGAGGGATGTAACTAATTCACAGTGATCTAGGTTGGAGGCATTAGAGAAATAGATACCCCAAGGTTACTCTGCTCCTGCTTTCTCATCTCCTGCCAGGACACCTCATCTGATGAACCCAAACAGAGGACAAGGGAACTGATTGATGTGGCTTATACAGGTTAATCTTCCAAGGCACAAACGGCAAAGAAGAGTAGAGAGTAGATCTGGAGGAGCAAATGGATAAAAGCATCAGATTATTTAGTGCATTATAACGTATTTACCTTGTAAAGCACATTCACACACATTGTCTCCTTTACGCTTCTTAGCACTCCCAAGAAGCAAACAGAGTAGCATTGTTGCTTCTCTAGTACAGATGGGGGAATTGAGTCACACAGAGAGTAAGTGAATTATCCCAAAGCCATGTAGCTAGCTAGTGGATAATCCAGGATCAGAATCCTGGAGTTTTTGGCCCTAAGTCTAGCATGATTTCCAGTATCTCGTAATTATCCAGGGTTGTACGGTGGTTTCAAAATAGATCAGTCTACTGGATCCACAGCCAAAGTGCTCCTTTGCTCAAGTTTTGATTAGTGTCTTTGCATTTTGTGGAGGCATTTTAGGACAGAGATTCAGACAGGGATTGTGCTTCTTGGATCAGCAGAATCTCACAGCAAATACTTTTGCCTGGGGCTTGGTGGAAAGATACTGAAGATATTTGTACATAGGAAAGACTGGCCTGTAACAGTTACTCAGACTAAACATTTTTATATCATTCTTGACTCACCTCTTTCTCTCACACCCATGTCTAGTCTGTTGGCAAACCCTGTTGGCACTACCTTAAGAAATCCAGAGTGACCACTCTTTTCTACCCTTGTTACAACCACTCCCACCCACCCCCTGTCCTCTTACCTGTAATACTGCAATGGTCTTCTAACTGATGCCTCTGTATCCACCCTGCCCCTCATCAACTCATTTCCATACAAACCACAGTGATTCTGTCAAAAGGTAGTGTAATTTAACAGGAAATGAGTGAGGACCATGAAAACAGATGGCTGTCTCAATGAAGCAATTTTCCTCTCAGTAAAATCCAAAGTCCCTAATAAATCTAGCAAAGCCCTACATGATATGCATTCCACCTCTCCTCTCTGGCTTCATCTACTATTCCACCCCCACCCCATGCTCATCACCCACTGTGCCAGGCACACTGCCAGCTTGGCTGTGCTCTGTAGCATATGGATATCTGCATGGCTTAGTCTCTCACTCCCTCAGGTCTCCATTAAAGAGTCACCTTTTCAGTGAGGACTTCCTTGGTCATTTGATGTAAAATTTCAAGCACACTCCAATTTTATTTTTCTCCTTAGCACATATCACCAAATACATCCATACTCAGAGTGACATCAGCAATATGGTGAAATAGGAGGTCCCCAGCTTTTGTTCACCCATAGAAACATGGACTTGCCAACTATCCACAGACAAAAGTGTCTTTTGATGAGCTTTGAGACCCAAGTTGGAGGCTGCACCACCCCAGCGGATTCAAGATCAAGGAAAGCTGCTTTGAAAAGGCAGTCTCGTGCCTCCAGTAGCAGACTTGTCAATCAGGATCACCAGCCTCATCTCCTGTGGACTCAGCTCCAGAATCATTTGTCCATAATTTTGCCACCAGACCTACCCTCCTATGGTCCTAGTAGAAACTGTGCCTGCCTAAAACCTTGTTAACAGGCCTAATGCCTTTGGGTCTCATTTGACATGGAAGCATCCCTGTGACCCACCTCCACATTGCTCAACCCCAGTCACGGAGGAAATGCCTGCCCAGAGATCCAGCAGGAACCACACCCTGATAACAGGTCTGCTGACCCCAGACCTGATGACAGACTCTGAGGCAGCCCTGTCCACCCACAGACCTAGAGACAGCCACATTCAATGGGTTTTTCACACTGCTAGCAGCCCCAGCTTTATCCCTGACTGCCTGTGGACTCAGCTGTAACCCAAACCACCTGCAGACCTTGAGGCAGCTCCATAGCCTTTGAACCAGGCTGTAGCTCCATCTGCCTACAGGTACAGGTCCAGCTCTGCCCACCCATAGACACAATGATCCTACTCATGGAACCCAACAATAGGCTTGCTTATAAACATCACCAGCTAACCAGCCCAGAATCTCTGACTGGCTAATTGGCAAAGGCCTTTATGTGTGTGCCAAAACCAGCCTGTGAAGACTGGAAGAGGTGACTGTTCCTTCAAGTGTGAACACACCAATGCAAGGATACAAGGGTCATGAAAAATCAGGCACATGTAATATCAGCAAAGGAAATTAATAACATTTCACTATCTGACCCTGAAGAAATGGAGGTTCATAAACTGCTTGGCCAAATAATTCAAAATAACATGTTTTTAAAAATGTTTTTGCTTTTTCTTTTTATAAAGGATTTCCAAACTGTTCAACAAAATAATCCTCTTTTTTAAGAGACAAGGTCTTACTCTGTCACCCAGGCTGGAATGCAGTGGCATGACCATAGCTCACTGCAGCCTCAAACTCCTGGCCTTAAGCTATATTCTCCCACCTTGTCTTCCCAAAGTGCTGGTATTACAGGAGCGAGCCACCATGCCCAGCCAAAATAATCATCTTAGAGAAGCTCAATAAGTGATACGAAAACACAGATAAACAACTGAACAAGATCAGAAAAAAATGCATCAATAAAACTAGAAGTTTAATAAAAAATAAAAGACATAATACAAGAGCCGAACAGAAATCCTGAAGCTGACAAATATAATGGCTAAACTGAAAAAAAAATTGATAAAGTGCTTCAACAGCAGACTTGATTAGGCCTCAAAGGCTTAAAGCAACTGAAATTGTTATCAGCTTAAAACAGATTTATGTTTTAAGAAGAAGAAAGAAATGAACTCAAAGACAGGTCATTTGAGAAATAAAAAGATTAAAAAACACCAAAGAAAGCCTATAGGACTTATGGGACACCATCAGGTGAACCAATATACACATAGACATCTCAGAAGGAGAAGAGAGAGATAAAGGGGTAGAAAGTTTATTTAAAGAAATAATGTCTAGAAAATTCACAAATCTGAGGGAAGTGGACACCTAGATTTCTGAAACTCAAAGATCTCCAAATAGGCTGAACCTAAAGAGTTTCAGACTCAGACAGATTAGAAATAAATTATTAAAAGTCAAAGACAAAGAATTTTGAAAGATGCAAGGGAAAAGTGACTTTTAATACACAAGGGAGCCTTGAAAAGACTATCAGCAGATCCCTCAGCAGAAACCTTATAGTCTGGAAGACAGTGGGATGCTATATTCAATATGCTGAAAGAAAGAAAAGGAAAACTGCCAATTAAGAATTTTTTACCCAGAGAAATTATCCTTTGAGAGTGAAGAAGTAAAAAAAAAAAAACTTTCCCAAACAAAATCTCAGTTTGTCACCACTACAAAAAATACTGCCTTACAAAAAGTACTAAAGGAACTTCAAAAATGAGGTGAAATTAAAAGGTGCTAAATAACAAAAAAATATATGAAAGTATAAATATCACTGCTAAAGGTAGGTATAATGACAAACACAGTATTGTCATATAATGAAGGTATATAAATCACTTTTAACACTAGTATTAAGACAAAGTTGTAAGAATAATTATAATCACAGAAATTAGTTAATGAAAACAAACTATATAAAAAAGTAAAAGCTGACATCAAGACATCAATTATGTAAACTGTAGCAAGTAGGGAGAACAGTGTAGAATTTTGTATGCAATTGAAGTTATCAGCTTAAAGCAATTGAAGCTGTTGTCAGCTTAAAACAGATTTATGACTATAAAATGTTTAATGCGAGGTTCATGGTAACCACAAAAAATGTACAGTAGATACCTAAAAGATAAAAAGAAAATAAAGCATATCACTACAAAAATAAATAAATAAATAAATCACAAAGGAAGGACAGCAATAGAGAAAGAGGGGGAAGAAGATAACTACGTAACAGACAGAAAACAATTTACAAAATGGCAACAGTAAGCCTACCTAACAATAATTACTTTAAGTGTAAGTTGTTTTAACTCCCCAGTGAAAAGCCATGGAGTAGATAAATGTATAGAAACACAAGACCCAACAATACAAGAGACTCATGATAGATTTAAGAGCACAGATAGGCTGAAAGTGAAAGGTTGAAGAAAGATATTTTATGGCAGTGGTAACCCAAAAAAAGCATATGTGGCTATACCAGATCAGATACAATAGAATTTAAGGCAAAAGCTGTCACAAAAGCCAATGGAGGTTATTTTATAATGGCAAAGGGTCTATTTAATAGGAAGATGTAGCAATTATAAATACGTATGCATCCAACATCATCATCTAAATATATAAAGCAAACATTGACAGATCTGAAGGAAGAACTTAATCTTCTATTATTATTGTGTTGCTTTAATAGAAGACTTCAACACCCCACTCTTCATAATGGATACATTACAGAGACAGAAAATGAACAAAGAAACAGCAGAACTGAACAACCTCATAAATCACTGACCTAACAGTCATATACAGAACTTTCTACTCAACAGCAACAGAATAATTACTCTTCTCATGTGGACATGAATATTCTCCGGAATAGATCATATGCTAGGTCACAAAAAGGTCTTAACAAATTTAAGATTAAAAACATTCTGTAGCCAGATGTGGTGGCACAGGTTTGTAGTCCTAACTGCTTGGGAGGCTGAGGTGGGAGGATCACTTAAGTCCAGGAGTTCAAGGTTACAGTGACCTGTGATCACACCCCTTCACCCCAGCCTGAGTGAAAGAATGAGACCCTGTCTCTAAAATAATAAAATGAAACAATACTACAAATACTTTTTAATCAAGTACAATGGAATGAAACTAGAAATCAAGAATAGAAAATGGGAACATTTACAAAAACATAGAATTAAACAGCACGTTTTGAAACAACTAACGGCTCAAAAAAATCAAAAAGGGCATTCAAAAATACTTCAGATCAATGAAAATAAAAACAACGTACCAAAACTTATGGGATGCAACAAAAGCAGTACTAAGTTGGATACTTATAGCAATCAGTCCTATCTTAAAAAGAAAGATACCAAATAAACCATCTAACTTTACACCTTACAGAACCAGAAAAAGAGAAGTAAACCGAAACTTATCAGAAGGAAAAAGAGGATAAAGATTAGAGAAGAAATACGTGAAATGGAGAATAGCCACGGCACCCGGCCTGACTCATAAATCTTTTAAACTAAAAGGGATGTTAATAGGGTATTCATTTCACATATGCTTATTACTCATATTTAATATATATTTACAGTTTATTTGTTAATGAGTAACATTATATTACATATTGTTCAGATTCAATCATTGAACTGAATTGTCTCAGGAATATACTTCACTCAAGTTTCCCAGGAGCCAAGGAGATTTGCTAAAAACTACTAAAATTTATATCCCTAAACTCACCTTTTGGCTGCATGATTGAGGCAGTTGGCAGAGATAATCTTACATTCTTAAAAATTACCATCAATTCATTGCCTACAAAATAATCCCCAGATTACTCAGCAAGGCATTCAAGTCCCTCATATATAATTCCAATGCTTCCTTGCTTCCTCTCTTGCCACTTCCCCATTCCTGAGCTCTTCACGTGAATGCTACATTTCAGCCCACACTGGAGTCTCATCATTCCCAAACATCTTCTTCCCCATCTCCATGCCTTTGCTTAAGCTCTTCCTACTGGCTGGGCTGATCTTTACTCAACTTCCCTGTGGGGAGTTCCTACTTATCCTGCAAGGTGCACATTAGAGTAAACCTCTTTACCTTTATGAATTCTTCCTGGATTTCCCTGACTGAATCAGAAGCTTTGTTAATACCTCTGTGAGAGCATGTGTTAGGTTGCCGTTCATGCTGGAAGTTGAGCTCCTTGTAACAACACTTGCAGCTTGCTGATCTCAATATTGCCAGCAATTCGTAAAGTGCCTGACACATAGGAGGCACTCATAAAGCATTTGTCACATGAAAGAATGAATGAATGAAACTAAGAGTATGGATTAATATATCTAGCTAAGCACTAACTCATAGGTTTTGTTCTTGTGTGTGTGTGTTTGTTTTAATGTAATAAAATGTTCTTCACCAAAGGGTAAGGTCTTCAAGTGGGAGATATGAGTAGATACACCAAAGAGAAATGCTTGGTTTTCAGGGCCATTTTGAGAAAAAATGAGCTATTACTTTGGAAAAGAATGAAATAATATGCAGATGTTAAGTAGTGGTTCTGCAATTTATCATCTCTCTTCTTAAATAAATATTTAGTACTCTGAGACTTAGAGAAAAGCTGTGGTAGCTGCTCTATTCAGAGAGAAAGGAACCCCTCCTAGTTGGTCATAGCTAATGTTTGCTGTTCCATTAGATCTCCAGATTACAGAACCCAGAATCTTCAGCCTCCTCTACTCCTAGGTGAACATAAGCAGGAGAGATGTGGCAAGCTGATCATCCACCTCATAATGCGTATTGCTGTGTTTGGCTTTCAGATGCTCAGTCCCTGGTATGATGAATTCCTGGATGAAGAGGACTACTGGTTTCTCATTTTTACAGTAGGAAGGACTTTGGGTTGGGAAGGAATCATGAGGATGAGGGAAGAAGAAAGAGCAATTGCTGTTTTAAAAGGCTTATGTATTAAAGTAAATGAAATTGTTCTTTTTCCTAGAGTCAACCAAAGATTGGCATGGTCCCTGTTGTTCTAAAGCTAAACCTTTCAAGGAAAAGGACTCGGTGCATAAGATGACTTTGAAAAAGTCACAATCGTAGAAAATTTCTCCCTTATAGAAAATGAGTTTGATTAGAAGAGGGTGGGGGTTGGCGTCTAAAGGAGCAATCGTGCTTAACAATGGAAATCAACCTGCTAAGACCCTGTGACAGGGAGACGTGGAGCACTGAGATCCTCCAGAACCATTGCTTCTGGTCTAGTTCCCGCAACAGATGTGGTCTTCTCTTCACCCTCTTCTCTTAGACACAGAACAAGTTCATCAGCTCCAGACGGCATAAAAGAGAATTTATGGACAAAGAAGAGAGCATTCTTCTTTATAAGAGGATTCAGCAGTCTTTGGAGTTAAGCCAGGCTTTGGCTGACATGAAGGAAATGGACGCTAAGCAGTGGAGAAAGATAGCTACGGAGGACCTGAGACGAGGAGGGTCTCTCCAGGTGGAGCTGACGCCTCCAGTGTTTCTTACAGGTCAGCCCAGTCACTGTAATTTTTTTGACCTTTACATATAGGCAACTGGAAAATAATATTTAATGTTTATGGGTTATTTACTAAGTGTCAGCACTACGCAATGCAGAGGTTACCTTATTTGATCATCAAAATAACCTATGAGGTAAGTGCTAAGTAACTGAGGCACAGAGAAGATGTGACCTCCCCAGGGTCATAGAGTAAGTTGCAGTCAGGATTTGAATGCAGACAGACTGTAACGCTCCTTGCTGGATCTGAGGGACCCAGATCGTTCAACTTTAGCCAGACTCTTGCTCACTAAAGCAATACCACAGCTGATGCTGAATACTTCATTTCATACATCTGATAAGCATGTTCCATCTCACCACATTTCCTCCAGAATAGGATCCAAGCGCATTTCTGTGAACATATTTTATAGTTACCCACTTCCCTAACGTAACACACCAGCCCACCCAGGTGGAGGAGAAATGTCATTAGGAGTAAAAGGCCTTGCAGTCCCAGAAGTCTGGGATTACACCCTTGCTGTCCTACTGACTTGTATACTTGAGCAATGTATTTAACGTCTCTTTAAGCCCCAGTTTTCTCATCTGTAAAACAAGAATAACAAACTTGTACAGGTGACCTGAGATCACCTATGAATGATCTCAGGAGTTCAGTACTGTAAATGTTAGTCATTATTATTCAAATTGAGCATATTGCTTTCATTATCTATATTGAGACAGTTGGAATACTGCATATTTCTCAAACTTTGATCCACAATAAATACATTTGTCTTCATAATTCCTTAAACATATACTTACGTATACATGTGCACATATATATGGAAACAAAAATTTCCAAAGGAATACTTGCCCTTATTATATAAGATGTTGTACACCAACATTTTTTATTCTATCCTATTTCATGTCGTGTAAAAGATAGCAATGTCACCATTTATTTTTTGGTATACTAATGAGCCATGACCTACACTTTGAAAAACACAGGTAAAGAGTAAGCAAAAGCTTTGAAAATTCAGTTGTACCATTCATATGTTCTGTGAGCTTGGGCAAGTTACTCCATCTCTCTGAACCTAATTTTTTCATCTATGCAGTGGAGATAATGGCCCCTAATTTATTTAGGATTAGAGGTAATATAGTTACGTAACAAGCAGGTGCTAAGTAAATGGTACTTGTTAGATTGCCAAAAGAATGTAACATCCAGCTCTTTTTTAAAACTTTAATGTGCACTCTCTATATAAATCAAGATGCCCTGGATACTTGCCCTTCAGAGCCATGCTTGGGCATGAATTATTTAAATCGAGCACGCATAGGCCCTCTTTTTTACCCATAGAGATTCCACCCTCTCTAAAACCTGAGGATCGTAGATCCTTTCCCAGGAATCAAGACAGAAGTAGAAGAAAAGATGGCTGGTAAATTTCACCACACATATATTGGGAAATGGGCATTACTGGGGGTACCAGGGATAGCTAGAAAGAATGTGAACCACGCCTTACAGAAGCTCCTTGTCCCTCTCCAAAGCACACATCATTACTTCCTCTATCACTGCTTTTTGGGAGCACAAGTCTGGCCTAATAAAGAGCCTTCTTTGCATTTGGTCAGGTCAGGGCTCTGAATCCCAGGTAGACTGGTGTATCCAGCTGTACCTTAAACTCGCAGAGTAGCAGAGTTAGAATACTCTCTTTCTTTTTTGAGATGAGTCTTTCTCTTGTTTCCCAGGCTGGTGTACAATGATGGTCTGCTCACGACAACTTCAGCCTCCTGGGTTCAAGCGATTCTCCTGCCTCAGCCTCCCAAGTAGCTGGGATTACAGGCACTTGCCACAACACCTGACTAATTTTTGTATTTTGGTAAAGACGAGTTTTCACCATGTTGGACAGGCTGGTCTCAAACTCCTGACCTCAAATGATCCTCCTACCTCAGCCTCCCAAAGTGCTGGGATTACAGGAGTGAGCCACCACACCTGGCCACTGTCATCTTTTATACAGGAAAACATGACTTCCAGAAAGGTGAAAAGACTTGCCCAAGGCTGCTCAGCAAGGAAGGAATTGATACAGGACCAGAAACCTGGATCCACTGCAGAAACAATCCACTGCTCTTAACACTTATGGTCAAATTCCCCTTGATTACACATGATGATGATGATGATGACATAAGAATAACTCACATTCATGGGTCCACACCCCAGTACTCTTTCTAGACTCAAATAGTATAGCTTCAGAAAGTACTGAACTGCCTAGAGAGTTCCAGGAGAACTCTGTGCATTTAGATATACTCTAAATCCCAGAACTCACATCCAAATGCATATTTCTCCACAGCAGGAAGTAAGGTACTATTCTGCTTCTGTTATCCAGATCTTTGTTAAAACTTCTCTTGCTATCTTAGCCTCATTGTCTTACCACATTCTGGATACAAAAAGGTATTCCCTCTCAATTCATTATGCATAACATAAGATGATACATGCTTGGTTCTAGGAAAAAATATCCACTCCAAAGGACAATGATTTGCAACTATTAATAATATTCAGATATGTAGTTAATTCTGAAAGTTATTCCCAAAGTCAGAGGTGAGAAAGGGAGAACATAGCATAGCATGTTCTTTGCCATTTCCTATTCTTAGGTTCTTCAAATTTTTTTTGAGACAACAGTAGAATGTTTGAAATGCATTTGTAGGTGTGGTGTCACGTCTTTAATCCCGATATTTGGGAGGCCAAGGCAGGAGTATCACTAGAACCTAGGAGTTCAAGACCATCCTGGGCAACATGGCGAAACCCCATCTCTGCAAAAAAACAAAAAACAAATACATTTCTACTCAACCCCTCAACAGATGGATGCTTTGAAGGAGTCACCATTCATTTGTATGAGTTACTTTTCAAACATAAATTAAAAATTAGTAGCTCTTTCAAGTTATACCTTGGCTACCCCCAGGCAAATAATCTCCATGGGTCAGTTTTCCCTGAGAAGGAGAGGATCTTCTTATTCTGGAAGGGAGAGGAAGCTTATTCCCTTGTTTATAATTTAGCTTAGAGAATTTGTATTATTTCTTTTTTTTCCCCATTTATTTATTTTATTGCATTTTAGGTCAGTTGGGGGGAAATGGGGAGGGACGGTGTGGGGTGGGGAGCTGGGGAGAGACAGCAAGGGGAGAGATGCCAGATGTAGGTGATGGGGAGGAAGGCAGCAAATCACACTGCTACGTGTGTACCTATGCAACAATCTTGCATGTTCTTCACATGTACCCCAAAACCGAGAATTTGTATTATTTCTGCAAGCATCCCATTTAAACATTTTCGGCCTCTTTAAATAACATTTTAAAGGCAATACCTTCAACAAAAGTATGTGAATCTTTGAACATAGACTTTGGACAACCAGACTGTATCTCTGTTTTTCCTTACTTCACAGACATCACTAAAATGTCCTTCGAGGAACTCTGCTACAAGAATCCAAAGATGGCCATAGAGAAGATCAGTGATGACTACAAAGTATACTGTGAGAAAGCACCGAAAAGCGGCAAGTGTTTAAAATCAGAGATAGACGAGGCAACTCAGCTTTTTCAAATCTAAGAGAAAATCTCTAAACTTAAGGAACAAACGCCAAAAGAGGAACCATGCTTTGTTGGAAATGGAGAGGTGGTTAGGGGGTAACGACTATGTCTTTTTTCTCCTACAAAGCCGTAGAAGGACATCATGAAAGTAAGATTAATTCTAAATGAATGAAGTGATGATGGTTAAGGTGGTTCATTTCTACTTTCTTATCTAGTTATCACTCTGGGGTTTTAAATAATGTGGATTCATCCCTGTCAAGTTACCTGGAGGCTGAGATTTGTGAGGGGAGGTTTGTCACCTTGGGAATAATACCTATAAGAGAGTGAGGAAGGCAGGACTGGGCAGAGATACATACTCAACCCTGAGGCAATCACAGCAGGCCTCAGCAGATGCCATAAGAAACTGTGTTGCTAGGATGGCCCTTCGGAGTTGTCCCTCAGTGAGGTAGGAAATTTACTGTGGGCTTTAGGTCTTCCACACTGATCTACAGGGGATGTGAATGCCCCTGGGAGGATATAACCTAGGCAGTTTCCTTTGGCTGAAGCAACGCTCAGAAGGGGCCTCATCTCTGGGTCATCAGCAGCCAACACCCAGGCATCTAAGGAAATGAGTGCTTTGGCCCTGAAGGGAGGTTCTACTTAGTACCCAGTACCACCCACTACTGTCCATTTGCTTTGTATAGGAATTTCACCTGACCTTGGAGTAGCTCCTCCAGGAATCTAACGGTTTCTTGTCCTGGGAAATGTATTTGAGAAAGGCTGGCTCACATTACTCTGCCTTATCTGAAGACCATTGCTAATACTCCTCTTCTTCTTCTCCTGCTCCCCATCCTAGATTTCTTTTATGCTCAGCTAGTACCTCTGTTGGTCTTGGGGTCTTACTAGACTCTCATCTCTGAGATATCTCAGCCCCTGGGCATCATGACTTCTCAGGCTGTGGCTGCTCCACTTGTCAGCTTATCATACACACTGGGCTAGGGAATACGAAGAGTGGCAAGTGAATTCTCCACTATCCCTGCCATGTTCCATGATCTTAACTATTAGGATCAATTACCCTATCAATACAGTGACCCCTTTGCTTGCCTGCTGGCTTCTTGGCATAAGGAGCTTAAAGCGATTGAATACCTACTGTTTCCTTTAGTAGAAGCATTCTGCCTCCAGGAACTAGGGTCTCTAGACTGGCACTGTCCAGTACAGGAGCCACTAGCCCCATGTGGCCACTGAGCACTTGAAATGTGACTGGTACATGTAGGTAAGTAAAAATCATTATTAAAATGAATTTCACCCTTTGCTTTTTGGCTTTCTCAATGTGACCACTGGAAAATTTTAAATTATATATGTGGCTCACATTGTACTTTTATTGGACAGCACTGGTCTAGACCTACAGGTATAAAGATGACAAATTTCCCTAAGTAAGTCACTGATACTGGTGTTAAATTGAACACTGCTTTCTTTCTTTGGCACCTGGACCCATGTATTCTACCACTGAAGACACACTTTTTAACGGTCTTTGATTTATCCTGGAGGATGATGCCTCATTTTCCCAAGGTATCATCGTTCTCCCCCAGCATTCTGGTAGCTCCAAGCTGCTTTCACAGCTATGCCTTCTAAAAGTGGCTCCATCACTCTATCAAGCCAGCAGCTCTCAAAGGAAATAGAACTAGTAGATCTCATCTTCATGGAACCCATTGACCACTGCCACACCTCCTTTTCTATAAAGTGTATCTCTTGGACAGAGGCAATGTTATGGGAGATCCCACTGAGGGATCAATCATTTTTAAGCCCCGAGATGGTGATGCTGTCTGAGACCTTGCAGATAAGATACATATTAGTTCCAGTCACAATGAGTTGCTGTTCCTTCCAGAGTAGAAAGAGTTCAGTGTAATCAGTTTGTCACCAAGTGGCTGGGTTTTATTAGGGATATTAATATATTGGGGGCCTGCATTTGTCTCTTTTGCCAGCAACTTAAGTGTTTGGTGTGCAAACATGGGGCACAGGCTGTTGTCTGTACATAGCCTCCAACACTGTGCCAGCACTGGAGTGGCTTATGACAGAGATTTGCTGGCATCACCTGGCAGGATGTCATTTTGTCTACTTGGTTGTTTAGTGCCTTTTTCATGGTAGTTGTTCTTTGGTGGGCCTTAAGATACAATACAAAGATCTTCACACTTCATGCTTATTCTCACAGATCCATCCACATGTGTATATTCCCAGACCTTTTTGTCCTTCTAATCCCCTAGCTTACCAGCCAAGCTGTTCATCACTACCTAAGAGTACATATATATTCTTACCTTGGGCTCCTTCTCTTTCCACACAAACAAATGCACAGGTGTACTGCCCGTAGTTCTGCTCATGGGGTTTTTCTCTCCCCATCATCTTTCAGAATCACCACCAAGAGGGGCTTCAGTTACATATTTTCCACCAACATATTGAGATGGTCCATTCATGAAACAGGTCCAATTTTTTTCCTCTTCTGTCAGTTGGTCATCAGTGGGACCAGTCAGCAATGTGAACAGCCATAGATGTGATGACAGCGAAGTGGCAGTGCCACAGTGGTAATGACATGGGTATCTGGGTCACCTGCTTGGGGAGTTTCTTGTACTTTCTGACCTGCCTCATGCCTGATTCCAGATGTACCATTTCCATTTTATGATGGATTACTTTTGGGCCAGCTATGACTTGGTGGTCTTGAGTAACCGAACTTATGACGGTATATTAGTCTATTCTCACACTGCTATAAAGAAATACTTGAATATACACCATGGAATACTATGCAGCCATAAAAAATGATGAGTTTGTGTCCTTTGTAGGGACATGGATGAATCTGGAAACCATAATTTTCAGCAAACTGACACAAGAACAGAAAATCAAACACTGCATATTCTCACTCATAGGCGGTTGATGAACAATGAGAACACATGGACACAGAGAGGGGAGCATCACACACTGGGGTCTGTTGTGGGGGGAAGGGAGGGACAGCAGGGAGGTGGGGAGGTCAGGGAGGGATAGATAACATGGGGAGAAATGCCAGATGTAGGTGACAGGGGGATGGAGGCAGCAAACCACATTGCCATGTGTGTACCTATGCAACAATCCTGCATGATCTGCACATGTGCCCCAGAACCTAAAGTACAATTTAAAAAAAATTTAAAAATAAAAAAAAAAAGAAATACTTGAGACTGGGTAATTTATAAAGAAAAGATATTTGATTTGGCTCATAGTTTCACAAGCTATATGGCAAGCATAATGCTGTCATCTGCTTGGCTTCTGGGGAGGCCTCAGAAAATTTACAGTCATGACAGAAGGTGAAGGGGGAGCCAGAACTTCACATGGTTGGAGCCAGAGAAAGAAAGGGGGAGGTACCACACACTTAACCATATATATATATATATATGGTTAAGTGTGTAACCATATATATACACATATATACACATACATATACACATATATATGCACACATACATATACACATCTATATATATACACACATATATATGCACATATATATACATATATATACACATGTATATACACATACACATATATGTATTCTGAAAATAACAACTAACTTATAGAAAAAAAAGTACAGAAAAAGAATCCTTTATTGAACCACTTGAGAGTAGCTGTCAACCTAATGCCCCATCATACTCAATAATTCAGTGTATACTTTCCACAAGCAAGGACATTCTCTCACAAAGCCACAATACAATGATCAGAATCAGGAAATTAACACTGATACATTACTACCACTTAATTTTCACACCAAATTCAAGATGTATTGAAGGTCACCTTACTCAGATTTTCTTTGACTTTTACATCCTTGACACTTTTGAAGATTTCAAGTCTATTTTTACAGATGTCCCTTCATTTTTGTTTGATATTTTCTCATGATTAGCTTCAGGTTATGCATTCAGGCTACTCAGAAATATCATTGCAGTTCGTTTCATTGCACCAAGTGATGCACAGTTTTGCTTTGTTCCATTACTGATGATGTTCCCACCCCTCTTGTTGTAGAAATGGGGTTTCACTATGTTCTCCTGGCTGTTCTTGAACTCCTAGCCTCAAGAGATCATCTCACCTTGGCCTCCCAGAGCACTGGGATTATAGGCATTGATCTTGCCTTTGATCATTTGGTTAATTTGTCACCTGCCAGGATTCTTTACTATAAATTTAATATTTTTTCCTTTCATGATTAACAAGTACTGTGGGGTGTCAGGGTCACTGCTTGCAGGGGTGTATCCTGCAGACTTTGACTTAATGACGGATGAATAAAGTATACTGACAAACAGATATTATGCTTTGCTAGTTTGACTGAGTGTGTCTGTGCAGCTTACAGACTCCTTGGAGAGTGCTGTAAACAGTGGCAACTGCTGGCCTTTACTAACTAGTGAGATTCACATTTATTCAGTAAAGTTCAATTGACAAAGGCTTGAGTCAACACCACTAGAGGTTAAATATTAAAGGACAGGTTCCATGCTTAAAGCAAACACTATTAGTGAGTAAAATCTTTGGTAGACCTCCTCCTGAGAAGGCCATCTGGCTCAAAGATTAGTTTTAAGATTGCATAAGTAAACAAGTTAGTTAGGTAAACTACTCACATTCTTTTGTATTTGTGCCTTAATCTCTCTGGCTCTTGCAAAGAGATTCCAGTTGCCTTCAGCTAAGAACTATAGAAAAAACTTTTGGACTTTCTAAAAGGGTTTGAGACAATATTCTGTAACTTTCTTTAATATTTTTCCTTTAATATTTTTGCTACTACCTTAAGTGAAACTTCACAATGGGGGGTGTACTTTGAAATTTTGTAAATATTTCATTCTTACACTTTTAATTAATTAATTTATATCTGTATGAACTCATTTTTTTAATTCAATGGGTTATAATTCATTACTATTATTATTTCAGTGCTCACATTTTCCCCAGTTGTTAAGTGGCACCCATTTCAAGCTGGCTTTTGTCTCCCTTTGAAATGTCTGTTGAGCATGTTCTTGCTTTATTGTATATGTCTCCCAGGTGCATCTTATACTTTTCCTGCTCCAGCTCTAGAATTAGCCATTATTCAAAGAGCCTGGTTCCTTTTCTTGGTGAATGATGCTTAAAAGCCAAGATCCAGAAACTAGGTTAACTCATTGCTACTGGGGTGTCACTGCAATCAGATCTTTTTAGTGGATTAGAGCTAAAGAATGTGTGTGTCCCAGAGATTCTGGTATGTTGTATCTTTGCTCTCATTGGTTTCAAAGAATTTCTTGATTTCTGCCTCAATTTTATTGTTTACCCAGAAGTCATTCGGAAGCAGGTTGTTTAATTTCCATGTAATTGTATGGTTTTGAGTGATCTTAGTAATTTTCTTAGTGATTTCTATTTTTATTGTGCCATGGGCTAAGAATATGGTTGGTATAAGTTCATTTTTTTAAATTTGCTGAGTTTTTTTTTTTATGGCTGATTATGTGGCCAGTTTTTTTTGGGGGGGTGGGGGTGGGGATGGAGTCTCACTCTTGTTGCCCAGCCTGGAGTGCGATGGCATGATCTCAGCTCACTGCAACCTCCACCTCCTGAGTTCAAGCAATTCTCCTGCCTCAGCCTCCTGAAAAGCAGGGATTACAGGCACCCACCATGCTCGGCTAATTTTTGTATTTTTAGTAGAGACAGGGTTTCACCATGTTGGCCAGGCTGCTCTTGAACTCCTGATTTTAGGTGATCTGCCCACCTCAGCTTCCCAAAGTGCTAAGATTACAGGCATGAGCCACAGCACCTGGCCCTTATGTGGCCAATTTTAGAGTATGTACCATGTGCAGATGAGAAGAATGTATGTTCTGTTGTTTTGGGGTAAAGAGTTCTGTAGATGTCAGTTAGATCCGTTTGGGTCAAGTGTTGAGTCAGGTCTGGAATTTCTTTGTTAGTTTTCTGCCTCAATGGTCTAACACCGTCAGTGGGGTGCTGAAGTCTCTCACTGTTATTGTGTGATTGTCTAAGTCTCTTTGCAGGTCTCTAAGAACTTGTTTTATGATCTGGGTGCTCCTGTATTGAGTGCATATATATATATATATATATATATATGATAGTTAAGTCTTGTTGAATTGAACCTTTACTGTTATGTAATGCCTTTCTTTGTCTTTTTTGATTGTTGTTGATTTAAAGACTGTTTTGTCTGAAATTAGAATAGCAACCCCTGCCTTTTTGTTTGTTTGTTTGTTTTCCATTTGCTTGGTAGATTTTTCTCCGTCCCTTTTCTTTGAGCCTATGGGTGTCATTGCATGTGAGATGATTGTCTTGAAGATAGTAAACAGTGGGTCTTGCTTGTTTATCCAGCTTGCCACTCTGTGCCTTTTAATTGGGGCATTTAGCCCATTTACATTCAAGGTTAATATTGGTAGGTATGGATTTGAAAAATTACTTTATAATTTTTAATTTATAAGTTTTACATTTCCATGATTACATTTGTATTTCATTCTTTCTGATGCTATTATAAGTAGAACTATTTTTATTTCATTTCAGATTATTCATTGTTAGTATATAGAAAGACAACTGATTATTGCATGCTGAACTTGTAGCCTAAAACTTATTGAATTTGTTTGCTAGGTTTAATAGTGTTTTTGTGGATTCTTTAGAATTTTCTATATATTGGATCATGTAATTTCTGAATAAAATAGCTTTGCTTGTTCCTTCCTAATGTGGACGTTTTTTATTTTCTTTTCTTGCCTAAGTGCTCTGGCTAGAACTTCCAGTACAGTGCTAAACAGAAACAGTGATACAAGGCGTCCTTGTCTTCTTCCTGAGCTGAGGGGGAAAGCTTTCAGTCTTTCACCATTGAGTATAATGTTTCCTGTGACTTTGCCCTTGATCATGTTGAGGATATTCTCTTCTATTTCTAGTTTGTTGGATGATTTTTATCATGAAAGAATGTTGGATTTTGTCAAATGCTTTTTCTTTGTCAGTTGAGATGATGTTCTTTCTCTTTTTCCCTCCTTCCTTCCCTCCTTCCTTCCTCTCTTTCTCTGTGTTTCTCTCTCTCTCTCTCTCTCTCTCTCTCTTTTTTGAGACAGAGCCTTGCTCTCTCACCGAGGCTGGAGTGCACTTGCGCAATCCTGGCTCACTGCAACCTGCACCTCCCAGGTTCAAGCAATTCTCCTGCCTCAACCTTCCAAGTACCTGGGATTACAGGTGTTTGCCATGACACCTGGCTAATTTTTGTGTTTTTAATAGAGATAGGGTTTCGCCATGTTGTCCAGTATGGTCTCAAACTCCTGACCTCAAGTGATCTTGAGGTCTGGCTCTGCCTCCCAAAGTGTTAGGATTACAGGTGTGAGCCACTGCACCTGGCCATGATGTATAACCGTCTTAATTTTCTACTGGATTTGATATGTTCACATTGTATTGAGCATTTTTGCATCTATATCCATCAGGAATGTTGTTCCATAGCTTTCGTGGGCTGTGTTTGTCTGATTTAGTATCAAGATCATGCCGACCTTAGAATGAGTTAGGAAGCATCTCCTCCTCTTCGATATTCTGGCAGTGTTTAAGGAGAATTAATGTTAGCTCTTCTTTAAATGTTATGTAGAATTTTCCAGTGAAGTCATCAGGTCCTGGGCTTTCTTTTGTTGGATGGTTTTTGATTATTGGTTCAATCTCCCATTCAAACTGTTTGTTTCTTCTTGGGTCAGTTTTAGAAGTTTGTACATTTCTTGAAATTTGTTTATCTAGATTACCTAATTTGTTGCCATAAAATTGTTTATAGTTGTCTCTTATAATCCTGTTTATTTCTGTAAGGCTGGTAGTAATGTCTTCACTTTTATTTCTGATGTTAATAATTTTTTCCCCTTTTTGTTAATAAGTTTAGCTAAATGTTTGTCAATGTAGTTATCTTTTCATAAGAAAAAGCTATTGTTTTTGTTGATGGTCTCTATTGCTCTCAGAGAGTAAATGCTTCTACTCTCTATTTTGTCAACTTCCACTCTTGTCTTTATTATTTCCTTTCTTCTGCTAGTTTTAGATTTAACTTGGGCAGGTGCAGTGGCTTATACCTGTAATCCCAGCACTTTGGAAGGCTGAGGCAGGAGGATACCTTGAACCTAGGAGTTTGAGACCAGTCTGAGCACCATAGTGAGACCCTGCCTCTACAAAAAAAATTAAAAAATTAACCAGGCATGCTGGGCACGATGTGTCATGCCTGTAATCCAGCACTTTAAGAGACCGAGGCAGGCAGATCATCTGAGGTTGGGAGTTTGAGACCAGCCTAACCAACATGGTGAAACCCTGTCTCTACTAAAAATACAAAAAATTAGCCAGGCTTGATGATGCATGACTGTAATCCCAAATACTCAGGAGGCTGAGGCAGGAGAATCGCTTGAACCTGGGAGGTGGAGGTTGCAGTGAGCTGGGATTGAGCCATTGTACTCCAGCCTGGGCAACAAGAGTGAAACTCTGTCTCAAAAAAAAAAAAAAAAATTAACCAGGCACGATGGCACATGTCCTTAGTTCCAGATATTTGTGAGTCTGAAGTGGGAGAATTGCTTGAGCCTAGGAAACTGAGGCTGCAGTGAGCCATGATCACGTGACTGTACTCCAGCCTAGGCAACAGAGTGAGACCCCATCTCTAAAAAATAACAATAAAAACACATTTAGCATGCTTGTCTTTATCTAGTTCCTGAACCTGTAAGACTAGATTGTTTACTTATCTTTCTTTTTTAGTATCTACATTTATAACTACGAGTTTCTTTTTTTGAGCAATGCTTTCACTGCATCCCATAGGCTTTGGCATGTGATGTTTTTATTTTCCTTTAGCTCAAAATTAATATGCTTTTCAAGGTGCCCAACATCATTAATCAGAGAAAAGCAGATTAAAACTACAATGTGATGCCATCTCACCCCAGTAAAAATGGCTTATATCCAAAAGACAGGCAATAACAAATGCTGGCGAGGATGTGGAGAAAAGGGAACCTTTGTACACTGTTGCTGGGAATATAAATTAATACAATCACTATGGAGAACAGTTTGGAAGTTCCTCAAAAAACTGAAAATGGAGCTACCATATGATCCAGCAACCCCACTGCTAGGTATATACCCAAAAGAAAGGAAATTAATTATCAAAGCGTTATCTGCACTCCCACATGTGTTGCAGCACTGTTCACGATAGCCAAGATTTAAAAGCAACCTATATGTCCGTAAACAAATGAATGGATAAAGAAAATGTAGTCCTATACACAATGCAGTACTATTCAGCCATTAAAAAAAATGAGATTCAGTCATTTGCAACAACATGGATGGAACTGGAGGTCATTATATTAAGTGAAATAAACCAGGCACAGAAAAATAAACATTGCATGTTCTCACGTATTCGTGTGATCTAAAGATCAAAACAATTGAACCCATGGGATACAGAGTAGAAGGATGGTTACCAGTGGCTAGGAAGGGTAGTTGTGGGGTGGGGAGGCGGCTGTGTAGGCTGG